AGATAACGAATTAACATGTAAATATGTTAATAACCCTCTCTTAACACCTCAAAAAAATGCAAATATTGTAAAATCTTATGTAAATATGACATAAGATACTCACTGACTAATTAAAAGCACCTCAGTAAAAGAGGCCGTTAAGACTATTTCTGAGGCGAAATCCACGTCCGCGTATTTTTCAATATAAACTCTTTTAGGAATATTTCTGCCTTCCATGAAATCTCAAGATACTACCGGACTCAAACAATGAATGATGACTTTACATTTTTAATCTTTACTTACCATAAACCGTCTTTCACTCGCACTCGCTTCCATCTGAAGACGCTGAGAAAATGGGGGCTTCTCGCACTGGTGTCGTCGAGATACGCCAAGATAACGTGACGTGCGTGCTCTCTTTCAGGTCCGCGTTCCCAACCCAGCACTGCTGGGTTATGGATCAAGACCAATTTTCAACCCAAAATTGGGTTAAAACAACCCAACGTCCTTACCCAGCGGTCTCAACCCAGCATTTGGGTTGAAAAAACAACCCAGCGTTTTTTTTTGTTTAAGAACACCCTATTTTTCAAAATCACAATTACCATATGATTTCAGACCACTCACTTATTTGCAAATTTTGACTGAAACAGAAACAGTGGGTTTCCAACAGAGACATATGATGGCCATTGAATCGTTTGTGAAAGTGTAAGTACCTACCGTAAGAGTTTATACTTGGAGACGAAGGCCTTGGTGCAGTCAGTGTGTGTGCAGTGATACGGCCTTTCCCCTGTGTGGGAGTACGAGTGTACCTTCAGCTTCTCCAAGCTGTTGAAGGCCTTCTCACACAACTGACAGGAGAAGTTCTTCCTCAGTTTCCCTTCTACTCTCCTCTTCCTCACTCGACAGTGTTCTGCCATGGTGGGGCAGTCGTTTAGAGATACCGTTGCCATGGCAACTTAGTGACAGCAAGCCATGTGGTGGACACGAGTGATATGTCCCAGCACAGAGAGAGTGTGACAGCCCAATTCTTCAACACAGCAGACACAGGGCCCTAAGAAAAAAGACAGCAAACAAATTAACTAGATGAATGAACTGAATACTTTAATACTGTGTCAAAAAAAACAAAAAAACATGAAATAATAAATGACTGTTTTCAAATCTGTAATTGATTACAAATTCAATTACAAAATTTAAAATTTGTATTTTAAATTTCCTCGGTTATATAACCTGGGGGCACTCCAAGTACCACTGATGGTATTCACCACACTTTGAGAACACTGGACTAGACAGTGGCAACAGGATACAGAAATCTGTATCCATTCCAGACCAAATGAGCTAAAACATTACTAAGTAATAAAATACTTACATTCCTTTAATAAAATACTTTCATTTACTTCATGCCATCATAGTATGCAGTGTCACATAGAAGCCACTTGTAGGTTGATTTAATTGTAAAGTGTAAATACTGAGGCAACAGTAAAAACTGTGTAAACACAGTGGCACAATTTCAGTGGAGCATTTGTAATGAAAAGACAAAAAGAGGAAGTGTGCCAAGTGTGTCATTAAACACAATTGTTATTTCAATTAATTTAAAATTAATGTTTTCTTTCACATTAATCTCTCACATTTTTCCATACTAACTGTTCCATACTGGAACTCTCTAAACATTAAATACATACATACATACATACATACTGTACATACATTCTTTAAAAAATAAAATAGATCAAGTGAAACCAGTTAACTTATTTTTCTATGCCTCTACACCTTGATTTATTAAAATATGTAGCCTATATTACAATTATTTTTTTAGAACAAAATGGTTTGTTATTTGCATCAACTTTTTTGTCATCAAGATTTTTCTATAGCATTGCAATTTTAGTTAATTATACTAATTTAATGGCAAAACACAAAATATAGCTATAAACTTTTAGAATTGTACCAGCACAAAACTGAAATGCTATGTCCAGTATATTCTTACATTAAAACATTTCTGATCGGTAAGTTCAGTTTTGAGAAATAATAATAATAATAATAACAATAATAGAAGAAGAAGAAAATTAAACAAATATTGTTTAAGATTAAACAAAATATTTACAGGAAAAAAAACAATAATAAAAAATATATTGTAATTTAAGTCTCCTTGGCAAGACATATTACTAATGTTTGCAGAGTTTCATCACTTACGGAAGCTACTACAAATTATTTAATGCAAGAGAGCATAAAAGCACCATCTATATCTAAGAATTCATTACTTGGTTAAATTGTTACAGTTTTAAGCCTATACAGTCAAAATTACACAACACAAAATATTCTACTCTGATGAAGTAAGCTTTATTCATTTACACTTAATTTAATACATAATACAATTCATTTGGGAAACGCTTATCCAAAGCGACTTATATTGCATTTAAGGCACACATTTATCTAAAGGTTCTAGGAATCAAATGACCTTGTTGCTAGCGTAGCTCTGTTTGAGCTGCAGGAAGGCAACTACATAAAAGCTTGGATGCATGGATCAGTTTCACAGAAGAAAAAAAAAACATGTTTAAATTATACAGTTATTCATATTTCAAAATCGTATTGCACAATTCTCGCTGCACCAAATCTTAAGCTACTTTACAATTTCATTATGCAGTCCAACAATTATTTAAGCTTTTTGACTACCGACATAAATTATGAGGTCTAAATATGCAAATACGACAGTTCCTGCTAGAATGCTAAATCTTTAGCTTTTTTTCTGTAAAACTGATTAATGCAGTTCACACTATTAATAGGGTTCTACATTACATGGGAAGGTTGAACATTTTTTGGAGTTTTTGAAGGACTCCGAACTTTGAACACATTTACATTCACAACAACTGCGCGGTAAACCCCATGACCCCCTTCAGCTGAAAGGCTATAAAAAAAAGAAAAGAAAAGAAAAGAACATCCAGGAGCAACAGAGGTGCTTCATATTCCAGATGGGGAAACCTCCACCGCATCTGGCCATATGCTGTGTAGGCTACATACACCCTTCTATTTCTAATTTCAAACACACACACACACACACGTACCACCGATTTTAACAGCTCTACAATGTATTTTGCGCACAATGTCGCTGATGCTCTTGCGTTACCACACGCTGCGCCATCACACGCTGCGCCATCACATGTACACAAATTCATATCTGATTGCAAGCTATACAAGAAATATAAGTTGACATTCTACAGAAACGCACCACACCCCGTGTCGTAGCAACCAACAACTTTGATATTATGATTGACTTAGGTGTCAAGCTATTACTAGCATCATTAAAGGATTCTGTCCTTTAAGATTTAAGATCCAATGACCCTTCACCAATCACTCATCCTGATCCTAAGTGAGACTTTCTCTCGGAGTAGAATGAACATTGAAGAGCTCTGCTCAGCATCTCCTAATTAGTCCCCCGAATTATCCCCACCATTTTGGTTGTTTTCGATATTGACATGCAGCTTTCTCTTCCTATAATGACCCACAGTGCAACTTTGTATAACTCATTGACACCCCTAATATAGTCACCAACTGTGACTCCCAAACAGCTAACTTTGTAAATTGTGTCAAAGTTAAACAGAATTATGCAGCTTATTTATTACATTTTGAGTTTAAATGTGATTAAAAACATGGAAAGGTGCTTCTACAACAAACTCCGTGTTTGCGTGCGTTTCGCGTTTTTTTGTGTCAAAATCTTGCACCATGCATGCAGCCTGCATTTTCTTAATATTTAAATATGCATACAATTTTATGCGACTATCCCCGTAGCCATGTCATTACTGTATATTTAGAGAAAATATCAAAACAAATTTTTCAAAAACTTTTTACAACTTCACGCGTTTCTCTGTTTATTGACATTCGTCCGAGCGCAACCTGACTTGACAGAAACAAATAACAGTATGGTCGATAGGCTATAACACAGTCTTTCGTTGCTTTTCTCTCAAGTTCCAAACTGGGCACTGATTAACACAAAACTTTTTTTTCTCTAGCTCACCCCTCTCATAATTTGAATAAACCCGATATTTTAATTAAAGAACGTCGTAACAATTTTCTAAATACGCATAAAACTCACCGCGAGAGCGTTAACATCCTCTCTATGGTATTTTTCTTGACATTCAACTATTTCCCGGATTTTTAATAATTGTTTTCTCATATTTTTTGCTGGACGCGGCGGGCCTAAAAATTGTTTGCTTTCCCCTCTTTCCAGCAGCCATTGTGTATGCGCTGCGATGCAACCAAACCAAGATTTGGCCACGCCCACCACGAAACCCTCCTTCCTCGCTCTTGTGTTTGTGTAATAAACTGTCACTTTCAGAGTTCACTGCCACTGTCTTTCCCTTTCAGAAAATCTAACATTTAGGACTCGTCGGTAATTCTGTCAATCGGTACGACTTCGTTTAATTTTTGTTTAGTAAATAGGAGGGTAAAACAGTTATCATCCTTGTTCCATTGGCTGAAAGAGGTGACAAATCTTGCAACCGTTACCGGTGACGATTTCCAACTTGCTGTTTGATTGGCCATCGATGCCTGTCAATCACCTACAAATACTTTAAGTTGTGCTGTGTTGTGACATACGCTCTGTTTTGACGTGACGAGGGAAGGTTGAGTGTCCATGTGCTACACGTAAATTGTAAGTAGCCTACTTGCAAAATTAAACTTATTGTTCAGTGGCAAATACAGCTTATTTGTGTTTTGCTATTAAACGAGTTCCCCTTTTTATTGTAATTTGCTGATAGAATTTGTAGAAGTATACGTCGCATAATTTACTCGGCTGGGTTACAGCAACCGGTCTTCTGTCCACTAAATTGAATGAGTGAGATTGCCGGTCGTTTTCCATGCTGACTTATGTCTCGAGGTTTATTTTGAAGTGAGTTAAAATAGGCTACCAGTCTTACGACTAAGTGCTCGTTAATGTTTTTTTTATTCGTATTTGAGGGGTTTAGTGTGCAATAGCCTCGCAACTGATGAACTGAACCAGTAAATTAGGTCTGACAAAGGTGGTGGAGATCTGAATTCGTTTTTGTATTATGCGATAAGTGTCTTAAGTTATATTAGTTATATTAGCTATGAGATCACTAGAAGTATCACTGCCATTTAAATTGAGTTAATACTGAGTGAGTTATACATCTCATATTTTGTTTAGTGAGTTTTATTATAACGCAT